ATATTTCGGATGAACCTGCTGTCTCCATTTTCTGGGTTGAAGCATACTTCTTCTACCCTGAAGACAGATGAAGCAAGTTCCTCTGGAACGTTGGTGTCCATTTATCAAACTCTACGGTAACAATGGTAACAGAACATTCAAGCAAATCTGAACCACTTCAACACCTTGCTTCTGAACAAAACTGTCTTCTGGTATATGAGACCACGTATATGGTACATGTTTCTTGATGGTTTGGAAAATGTGCTGCCTCCATCTTCAGTTTAGGATGTCTTCCAATGGGATATATTTATATGAAATTACATCAGAATCTGTTTTAAGCACATCATGCAAAGAACTCCTAAAACCACAGGGCTATTGTTGCACAAATTAGCACTTGCCCACTGAAAGCTATTGGTAACACTGAACGTGTTTTCAAAGTTGTTTTCTTAAGTTTAATGTTAGATTTTCAACAAACACACACTGCTCTTAAGCATCAGTCATTTCAAACTGTGACACACTGTTTAAACATGACCTTGTACTAACATGTACACTACACAAATGAGTGTAGGTAGACATAGGATTGCATGTATGAGACAACCAACATAAAACTGTGCAAGATTTCAAGAAATTCAGTGTCAATAATGATAATATTACTTTTACAGTAATTATTATTAAACATTCTTAGTGGGGTGAGACTGAGTCCATTCTGTACTGCGGCCACTTCTGGCCTATTGTACCAGCTCCAGATGATAGACGATGGTGATTGTCGAACAATTGGTGGAATGAAGATTGGCAGGGGAAACTGAGGTAATCAGAGAAAACCTGCCCCAGCACCACTTTGTCCACCATAAATTCCACATGACCAGACCCAGGCTCGAGCCCAGGCCACCGCAATGTGAAGTCAGCAACTAAGTGCCTGAGCTACAATGTGGCCATTGCTTTTACAATAGAAGGACATGTATTATTTGGTGTGATGGAGGATTAAGAAAATGTCATAACATTTAAACAACCTAGTTACTATAGGATTCTGATGATGGAGTATAACACACAGAGATATTGGGTTTTCGGACTTTATCCATCGTCCTGGTTTTTAAGATAACTAAGAAAAACACGACGTTTCGGAAACTGGATCTGTTTCTGTCCTCAGGTGAGGGAAAACACCTATTATGTTGGGTCCCCTTAGAAAGAGGATCCAGTTTCCGAGACGCCGTGTTTTTCTTAGTTATCTTAAAAACCAGGACGATGGATAAAGTCCGAAAACCCAATATCTCTGTGTGTTATACTCCATCATCAGAATCCTATAGTAANATGACTGGGGACAACATGGTTTGAAGCTAACACCTCAGTAGTATTAGTATTATTACAATTTGATACTAGTGGAATAAATGGCAATAAATTAATTTAGAAAATTATTCATGCATGAAACCATAAAATAACATGGAACACAAAGTAAAATTAATATGGAATCATAACTTGAGTCAGCAGTAGTGAATGCGGGTTCAAGTTAGTCATATCCTTACAAAGTACATAATTATTTTCTGCTATGTGATATGACACAAATGTATATATATATATATCCACTCCCCATACACCTTCATGGCATAGTGCTTAATTAGTTAAGCAGAGGGGCAACTTTACCTTTACTTTTATGTGATGGGAGACATGGAAATTTGTTTCATTTTCTTGATGAAATGGGCAATATATAGATTCATTAAATGGTAATGATAAGGCAGGATACCGCCCCACTTCTTTGTACAAAGTGAGCTAGGTGGCTCAGGTAGTAATGCTTCTGACTTTTATTTGGGAAGTACCTGGTTCATATATCAGGTGGGACATAAATTATGGTTTACCTCTGTCTTTTCAGAGGAAAAGGCTACAATTGCTTTCTTCCATATCCTTTAAAATTCATTAGTCACCAATCATCATATCTTCTGATGCTACACAGCCTGAGATAATGAAAGTATCATTAAATAAACCAGAAATAAATACATAAATAAAATAACTCATTTATACAAGAATACGAAACCGTTTCACTACACTACAGTGAACCTCAAACCATATGAGCAAATGGTAAAAGGGCAAAGCTGTCCCTGTAACCAGCCATGAAGGCCCATGGGGGTATGAGAGGTTCAGACTCCCACGTTTTCTAGACAAATCAGCTCACAGATGGCGGTAAGGTTGTCAGCCTCATGCGTCGGCCATGCTTTACCCCCCAGGAATCTTCCTGGTACTCATTTCTGTTAGAGACAGAGTCAACACCAGGGCCACAGTGCAACTAGAAGGATAAGGTAATTGAAAAAATTCAATGACCTCATCAGGAACTGAATCCATGACCCTCAAGTTTGTAGCATAGTGCCTCAACCAACTACGCTACCACATGCCCCTGAGCAACTGTATGAGTATGCATAAATATCCAGTATAAAACAGTAAATGATACACTGGATTCTTTCTTGCCCACTTTTCATATACCGTGGTTCTGTCATGAATGACCTCCTAGTATTTTCCAGCTGTTTGCAATTGATGTCTCTTGCCAAACTACAAAATGATATGCCTTCAAATTTCATGGCTGGAGTTCAATGTAAGGCTTTAGGTTTGTGGAATGTTGGAAGGTGTTCCAACATATCAAGAATCCAGTTGCTGCCTTTAGGGTTAACATTTTCCCTTGCCACTGCCAATTCATGGTTAACACAAAACCTTGTACTTGTCATTTTCCCTTAAGATGACAACTGCAATGTTTGCCAAAATGGAAAATCTTAAATATTTTCTGTGGCATGTTCCTAAAAGCAAAAGTCATACAATACACAATTACTGTTTACTCATCTTCGAAAACACTTTGAAGTCCATTAACACTGTTAATGTATTAATGTTCTCTTTATGAGATATATAGAAGACAAAGTGGCAAATGACAAAATGGTTAATAATGGTAAAATGTGAAGGATGTCCTCCATTACTCTGAAGAGTTGAAGAGGTATAGATCACCAGGTTTTAATAAAATTCTGGCAAGATAAACTGAAAATGTTACATTCTTCGATCTATAAACTCATGAAATTCTATTTGAATAACAAAGAACTGCATCTATAATGGAAGTAGCCTATTACTGTACTTACATACAAGAAAGGTGATGTAACAGTGTATAGAAATTATCAAAGCATGTCACTGTTATCAACTTCATACAAAATCTTATCCAGTATTCTTCTCTCAAGGTTAGCTTGACATGTACATGAAGTTACTGTATATTATCAGTGTGGATTTCAATGTACTAATGAACTACTGATCGTATTTTCTCTCAGATACTGGAGCAAAAACTGAAGTATAATGAGTCACTGCATCAGCTATGTACAGACTTCAAGAAAGCCTAATTCAGTTATGAAGGAAGTGTTAAACAGTACTGGAATATCCATGAAACTATTTAGGCTAAATAAAACGTGTTTATGGAAAATATACACTAAAGCTCATTTAGGTAAACGATGTTTCCTATTCAGTATGGTCTAAAACAAGGATATTCTTTTCAGCTATATTTTAGAATATGCCATTAGGAAAGTCCCCCCCAAAAACTAAGCAGAACTGAAACTGAACGGGACATGTCACTTTCAGGCCTGTGTTGGTGGTGTTAAATTTATTGGTGAATAACATACCTGCTGTAAGGAGAAACAAAGTAGTTATAACAGAAGCTAGTAAGCATGTTGGTCTAGAAGTAAACACACAGAAAAATAAGTACATGTTGATGTCTCATCACCATAATGCTGGATAAAATCGTAACATATAAAACATAACAAACTCTGTGGCCTGTAGTCAGCAAGTGAACTATACCGACCGAGCAACTGCCGCTTGTGGGCGAAGTTAGAACATAGCTAATAGATCCTTTGAAAATTTGGCACAGTTCAATATTTGGGCATGACACTTAACATATCAAAATTGCTTTCATGAAGAAATTAAGAACAGATTACATCAGGGCAATGCATTCCTCCATCCAGTTCATAATTTTTTTGTCTTCTTGCCTGGTGTCAAAGAATATGAAGATTAAACTGTACAGAACTATAATTTTGCTTACAGTTATAGACGGGCGTGCAACTTCGTCCCTTCCATGAAAGGAAGCACATGCACTGACAGTGCTTGAGAACAGGTGCTGGTGAGTACCTCTGTAATTTGCACTTCTTGCCAAATGTTAGAACCGTCAAATCGAAGACAGACAAGACATGTAGCATGCATGGCAGTAACAGCAGTGCACACAAAATTTTAGTGGGTAAACATAATGGATAGAGACCACTAAGAAGACCTAGACATTGATGGGGATAATATTAAAAATGGACCTCAAAGAAATGGAAAGCAATGGTATGGGGCTGTATTCATCTATGACAGTTCAGGCTGGATTCATCTGGCTCAAGGCAGGGATCAGTTACGAGCTCTTTAAACGTTGTAATGAACTTCTGGGTTCCACAAAATGCTTGGAATTTCTTGAATGCCAGAGCAATTAGCAGCTGTTCAAGAAGGGCTCAGCCGCATGGAGTTAGTTATTTGGTTAAGATCATTATGTACAATTTGAAGTTCTCACAAGATTCCTACCTTCTGGGATATAACAATGTATAGTCCACTGGAAGTCAACAGATACTTTGGGGGAACATGTTGGCTCCATCTTCAGGGACAAAGAATAAGCCAAGCAAGAGACAAACATAAGCACGCAGCAAGCAGAGCTCTGCTGAGGATGGAGGTGACATGTTCCTCTGAAATGCCAGCTGCCTTTCAACAACCCACACAGCACTAGATCTCAGAAGATAGGACTTTTCAGTTATCTAGCTAGCTATTAAGTCAGTTGGCCTGTCACTCAGTCAATCAGTCAGTTAATTACTCTGGAGAACCTGTGGAAAACCATAACTCAGTCACAACAGCTGATCTCTAGACAATGATTCAAACCTGGAAACTCAAGAAGACAAAGAAAGTGTGCTAATAAGCACACTGCGATGTTCAGTGAAATTGCAATGTGAAATTATAAGAATATTTGTCAAATTGCATAGCGCACTCACCATATGTTCCCGGGCTTTCTCCTCCAGTTCTTGCAAGCACCAACCAACACCAACACGGAAGTCCAGTGGCTGCAAACGTGCCTCCATCTCCCGGATCCACTTTCTCAAGCACCTCACTTCATGTTCCACATCTGCACAGAAATATACATCCTTAAAAATGAAATATAAATGTGACAAATAAAAAAACAATTAAATAAACAATGAAACTGTGTGATAACTGAGGTTCTTATGGCTAAAATATCAGTCTTCTGGAATAGGGTGAAACAAATTTTAACCTCGATGCCATACATGCATTGCAAGAACCTGCCGCATCCATCTCCTTCCTGAAAGATGGAGGTAAGAGTTCTTCCAAAATATTAGTAGCGATGCATCAAAATACATTATATCAAATGCCAGAGTACCATAATCTTGAGCAGTGACACTGTAGATTCAACGATTAAAAGCAGTTCTAACTTATGAAATGTGTTGTTTTCAAAGTGAATTTCCTAATACTATATTTTTTTTTGTGTTGTTTCTGCCTCTTACTAAAGTTTTAGGGAACTCAGTAAGATAGTAGACTCTCCATTGAAAATACAATGCCATCATACATATGAGGGTAAGTCAAATGAAAACTGTAAACATTTTTTTAAAATTTAATTTATTGAATGAAAGCAGTACACAACTATATAATTTTTCTACATAGTCTCCGTTTCATTCAATACAGGCCCTCCAGCGTTTATAAAGTGTATGGATTACTCTAAAAAAATTCTTGTGGTTGTCTGCACAACCACCCGTGAACTGTCTGCTGTACCTCTTCATCAGAACGGAGCTTCTTTCCTCCCATCACCTCATTGAGTGGCCCAGACATGAGGTAATCACTTGGGGCTAGGTCTGGTGAGTATGGTGGATGTGGAAGACACTCAAAGTGCAAGTCTTGGATTGTTGCAACTGTTGCACGGGCAGTATGGGGCCGAGCATTGTCATGTTGCAAAAGGACACCTTAATCAAAAGTCCACGTTGCTTTGATCTGACTGTAGGTCAAAGATGATTCTTCAAGAGATCTGAATATGAGGCACTGGTGATAGTGTTCCCCCCAGGAGCGTCTGCCACAGACATCACACCATTTATGAATTTCCTACTCCACTCATACATTTGCTGCTGTGACAAGCATGCATCACCATACTGAACTTTCATCCGTCAATGAACTTCAATTGGTTTCACACCTTCGCTGACCAAAAAATGAATTACAGAACGTTGTTCTTCTTTTGTGCATGTACATAGTGGAGCAGCCATCTTCGAACTGGCACTGTGATGGCGTTCTGTTTGTCTGCATTATACTGCCACCTATAGGATACGCTTTATAGCATTGGTAACATGTGGGCCAACTTATAGTACAATGGCGCATATCTCAAATTTTTATCTCAGTTTTACGGTTTTCATTTGATTCACCTACATACNCTACGTACATCCCTCTATTAGAAAAAATTTTGATTGTGAAATTTTAGTGGCAATATAACATAGGCAAAACATTTTAAAGTAGAACTGAAACTTTTAAAATACTATAAGTTTCAGGATTCTTTCATCCAGTGGCCTCCCTATATTTCCAAAAGGCTTTTATGGATTTGGTGCCATTTCATTATGGCATGTTCATCTTTTAATATTTCAGGACCTGGCTGGAATGATTTAAGTGGAAACATATTACTCAATATATGTATATAACTATTACAAAATTATTCCCAAGTGGTATCAATTGCAGAAAAATTATTATATTAATGCAATTTATTCAAGATGTAATATCATAATTNAATATAACATTATGTAACATCATTTTTAATTTCATATATGAATTTCATTCCATAAATACAATATAAAACTTAAAGTAGATAAACTGATGTAATAAGTTTGAAGTTTCTTTAACCTACATATCATTCTTCCACAATGAGTAGTTTAGAAGCAATGCCTTACTCACAAATTTTACTGTTTGCTATCATATAAACTATAAAATATACATTATTCTTTTCTCTCTTCACATATCTTCATGCAGCCACTTATACTGATAACATCAATCATTCTGGGAGACCTAAGTATACACGAAAGATGAAAAGAATCTACATATTGTGAAATTCTGCCAGTACAACAGTGACATACAAAGTGGTTACTGATGTAGACTATGACACTGTGTGCATAGATTAGCTGCTGGGAAAATAAGAAGATACACTGGGAGAATCTTCAAAAATAAGCTTGTTATAATACAATGTTGGAAGCTTGACTGTAAATAAACAAAACTGTGACATAAAAATTATTTTGTTATATTAATACAGATTATTTTAAGAAAAAAACAAGCAAATGCTGGACGTTTATGCTGGACTATCATGTAAAATTCATCTGCCTCCCACAATTCCTTCTGTCCTGTCTGCTACCTGGTTCCTAGGAGACTGTATAAAGTATAACCAATAATGTGCTCCATGGCCACTGCCATTTCATTACTAGGCAGACATAATATAGGTACAGGCTAGAATTTTAACTAAAAGACACATCAGTTCTGATACCAACAGTCAACTTACTTACTTACTCATGGAGCTGAGCCCTTCTGGAGGAGCCGCCAATTCTGCAGCTACTCAAGAATTCCCCAGCATTTTATGGAACCCGAAGGTTCAATACTGTGTTCACAAGAGCCCTCCACCAGTCCCTGTCCCGAGCCAGATCAATCCAATCAATGTCATCACATCCTATCTCTCTAAGATCCATTTTAATATTGTTCACCACCGACCAACACCTTGGTCTTCCCGGTGGGCTCTTCCCTTCTGGCTTTCCCACCAATATCCTATATTCATTCCTCATCTCCCCCATTTGTGCTACATGCCCTGCCCACCTCATCCTCCCTGACTTGATCATTCTAATTATACTTGGAGAAGAGTACAAGTTATGAAGCTCCTCACTGTGCAGTTTTCTCCAACCTTCTGTCACTGCATCACTCTTCGGTCCAAATATTCTCCTCAACACCATGTTCTCAAACACCCTCAGTCTATGTTCCTCCCTTAATGTCAGAGACCAAGTTTCACACCCATACAGAACCACAGGCAAAATTATAGTTTTCTATATTATAATTTTTATGTTTTTGGACAGCAGACGAGAAGACAAAAGATTCTGGACTGAATGGTAGCAAGCATTACCCGAGTTTAATCGCCTCTTAATTTTCTTCTGAATCAGGTTTCGATCTGTTATCATTGTTCCCAAATATCTGAACTGTGCCACATTTTCAAAACATCTGTTTCCTATATTTATGTCATGATATTGCCCTGCATTTTGGTGACGAGACAGCAACATATACTTAGTTTTCTCAGTGATTACTTCTAGACCAACCTCTTTACTTGCATCAATTACAGTTTGTGTGTTTTTCTCTATGGTGTCTACATTATCACCCGGTAGATTCACATCATCGGCACAAGACAACAGCTGATGTGTCCCGTTTAATTTCAGTCCCACCTGGTTTCCCTGGACCTTCCTAATGGCATATTCTAAAGCAAAGTTGAAAAGGAGTGGCGATAAAGCATCTCCTTGTTTTATACCAGTCTGGATAGGAAAATTATCAGAAAAATGTTTACCTACACGGATTTTACTATAAGTTTCGTTTAGACACATTTTCTTCGACCAGTTTCATGGGTATCCAAAACTCTATCAGAATATTGTACAATAGTTCCATCCTAACTGAATCATAGGCTTTCTTGAAGTCTATGAATAGCTGATGTGCTGTCTAATTGTACTCCCATTTTTTCTCCAATATCTGACGAATGTAAAACATCTGATCTGTAGTTGATCTGTTATGTCGAAACCCACAGTGATGATCCCCAATAATTTCATCTATATATGGACTTAACCTTCAGAGAAGAATATTGGATAAAATTTTGTATGAAGTTGACAGCAGTGACATCCCTCGATAATTACTACAGTCAGTTTTATCACCCCTCTTGTGAACTGGTACAATAATAGACTCCTTCCACTCATCAGGCAATTTTTCCTTATGCCAAATAGAAGTAATTATATTCTGGATAATACAATGCAATATTTCACCTCCTGCCTGAATAAGTTCTGCCGGAATGTGATCACTACCTGCCGATTTATACCGTTTCAATTTTGCAATAGCACTTTCAACCTCAAAAGGGATAGGATCAGGTACTAACGGCTCAGCTGTATGGATTTCTGTCTGCCTAACATCACTGACCCTATGTACATTCAATAACTGAGAGAAGTAGTTCCTCCACCTATTCAAAATGTTGTGGGAATCTGCAAGCAGATCACCATTCTCTTCCTTCATTAAGTTACTGCTAGGCTGGAAACCCCTCTTATAATCATTTATTCCTCTATACAGGTCTCTAATGTTCTTGTTCTTACTGTTTATTGCAAGCTCATCAATTTTGTCTTTCAGATATTCCCTCTTTTTGTTCCTGAAATGTCTGCTGGTTTCACGTCTTATATTGTTCAGATTATCCCCATTTAATTTGTTTGGATCTTGTAACCATTGCAATTTGGTCTCCTTTCTTTGATCTAATAATTCTGAGCATCCTTCATCGAACCATGATTTATGCTTCTTCGGGTCATAATAACCTAGACTCTCTTTGGCAGACATTTTTATATTCTCTCTAATAGTTTCCCAAGCTTTATTAACATCCACCTCAGTTTCCAAGTTTTCCAAAGCTGCAAACCTATCTGAGATATCAACACAATACTGCTCTTTACCCTCTACCTCATTTAATTTCTTGAGATTGAACCTCTCCATATGAACTCTGTGTGTTGTTTTTTGCTCACTGCCAGTCTTTCCCTAAACTTTGCCACCACCAGGTAGTGGTCAGTATCACAACCTGCTGCCCTGAATGATCAGACATCTAGTATACTTGAGTGCTGTCTCCTATCTATCATAATATTGTCTATTTGATTGCGTACTTTCCCATCAGGAGATGTCCAAGTAACCAACAATCAACGCTAATCTTAAATTTAAGAAATTAACAAACTTGCCAGTATAATGACAAGAAAACATTAGTAAAATAAATCAACCACTATCACAAATTTATAAAGGGTTATCGTAGCTCTGGCAATAAAACTGCAGCCATCAATTGTCTCTTTGTTACCTGTACACAGGTCCAGTTGGTCTGGGTTGCTCTTGCGGGGAGTGATCGTTTGCTCCAGTGTATCCCATTTGGAGTTGAGGTGGGCCATCCTCCACATAACTTCATCCCGTACGTCTGGATACCGACGTAACAGCTTGTTTGCCTGGTCATTGAACAGTTTGCGTCGATATGCCTTCCGCTGCATCTCCTCCATGTGACTCTAGAGCATACAGACACCAAATTCAACAACCAGTCTGAAATAATTTGCAAATAAATAGAAACAGCATAAAAAGTTCCTAATATGATAAAAATATAAAACTGGATGTTGAAAGGGGGATATGGACAAAAAGTAGCAGGGGACAAAAGTAACCATGAGCAAACTGATAATAATCTCAAAAAAAAAAAAAATTCACAGATGACATTGAGAATGTACACATACACGGCACTGTCCACCGAAGGGTGTCCACAAGAATTTATAGTAGTAACTCTCAATTTTAATCAACTAACAAACTATCTTCATCATACATGTTTCTTATAATTAAAATTCAATTCATTATGTGCTATGTCTGTAGTATTCAAAATGTATTGCATGCCTAGCTCCAGATATTGTTCCTTACAGTAGTAACTCTTAGCTTTTATTAACAAACTCACTCTGTTGTGCAGGTAATTTCTTGAAACTTTTAATCAGAACCACTTCCATGATTTGTTTCTAATATTAAAACATATTACAGTACTAGCCACTGACATTCCCAGGTTGTTAGTTTCAATTCAATATTATTATTCACTATATGTTTCACCTAAATAAGACAATAAGATACTGATCTACAAGTGATAATGATAATTTAATAATTTAATTGATAATTTAATGTTTTTATTAATTACTCAGCCTCTAACAGAAATGAGTACCACGAATTAATTAAATAATATTCCTGGGGAGTAAAGCACAGCCGGCGCATAAGGCTTGACAACCTTACCGCCATCTTTGAGCCGAGTGTCTAGATAATGTGGGACCCTCAACATCTCACAACCCTATGGGCCTTCACGGCCTGTTACAGGGATAGCTTTACTTTTACTTACTTACATTTTTAACATTTTATATTATATACTGCATATATTATACTTCATAATTTTTTTTTACTTATACTAATGTAATACTTTTGAAGGCATCGGTTTCTAACTTCAGGTAAAAAGGTAAAGTTGTCCCTGTGCTTAAATAATCAAGCACTACATCATGACGATGTATGGGGGAGTGGATGTATAGATCCACGTTCTAGCTTCAGTCTGATTCAAAGTGTACAACTTTTACAAGTAAAGCCAAAAATCCTTCATCTACCAATGTTCAAAAAATGTTTTACATCACGAAGCAAGTCAACAAAACACACTAACAAAATTTTCCCATTCCAGAACACACAAGGATACAATTAAAGGTATCTTTACTGCTGGTGTGATCAATTTTCAGCCACAACTCTTAAAAACATTTTTATATATTCCTTTTCTTCTTCTTAATTCAAAATCATTAACATTCTAGATTCAAGCACTACAATTACATAGCTACAGTTTCAACACTGTGGTTACCCTTCCTGCCTTGTATCTGGGAGGTTCTGAGTTACAATCAAGGCTGTGGTTTCACTGGGATATTCCTCTCTCCAGGCCAGGAAGGTATCTGACGTTTGGACACAACGGCTTCCTCCCTCATCCATTTCAATCAGCTTTTCACTAATTATTGCATCATTTGACATTGAATAATCATAGAAAATAAAACAGCTGTTAAATAAATCAAGAATAAATAAATAACACTTACAACCCTGAGACTCCTATCAGTGACATTCTCTTCCTTCCCATACACAGCCTCTTGAATGCTATTGAGCCAAGAATAGAGTTCAGAGAACTGGTTAAGGAATTCATTGAAGCTCCAAGTGTAGGAAGTTTCTGCTACATCTTCCTCATCCCAAGAAAGTTCACCACTTGCCTCCTGAAATATTATTATAACATCTTAAAGAATGGCTTTGTGGAATGTTATTTTTTTTGTCCTTGGCACTACAGCCCCAGTGGACCTAGGCCTACCTCCATGAACTTCTCCGTTCACTTCGGTTTTCTAGATCTTACACATTCAGTAGGACTCCTTGGGCGGGTGATCAGCTCGTCACAAGGCCTCTACCTATATACAAACACAGAAAAACACCTACACACAAACTAAACATCCATGCCCTGAGTGGGATTCGAATCCATGATCCTGGTTTCCAAGCAAGTGGAGATGGTACGTGCCTTAGACCGCTCGGCTACTGTGACCGGCTGTTGTGTTTAAAAATGCAAAAAGTAAGGTGAAGTTTTGTCCCTGCTCTTAATTCAGCACCATGCCATGAAGGCATAGTAGAGTGCAGGAAGGGCTCAATATCTTGGCACTAGATGCAGGAAAGTGTTTCACTTAATGCCCTGGTCACTTTAAATTAAATAACAATCTCCCATGCACTGCTGGAAAGGAGGTTGGGTAGGCCCCAGAAATAGTCTGACTATGGTAACAAAAAGAACAGTCCCTGCACTTGACAGAAATGATTGTCCATTCTTCCAATCCACTGTCAGTCACTATAATGACTGAGCTATCTCACCTCAGAGCTTGTTACATTTACAGCCAACTGAAATCAGAAAACTAATTGCATCTATATAATGGAAAATTCAGACAAAATTCTATAATTTTATCCTAATAATGTTATTTGGAAACTAGATCTAAATTTATTTATAGTCTGTACTAATCCTACAGTCACTCAGATGGCCAGCAGACATGACATTTTACACTCCTCATTACGGCTCTCAGGCAGTTCAAAACACATCATAATATGAAGTATATCCTTAGCAAGTTGGTGAGGCACCGATGAACCATTCTAAAAATTTTCATTTCATGCATCCTGTTGTGTTATAACATACAATTTCTTTATTAAAATCATCACAACAGAACAATATCAAGGTCAAGGCCAAGACTGGCTCTGCTACATGTTTCGGCTATTAAAGCCACCATCAGGCAAATACATGATTAACGTATTCACACCACTGAACGGCAGTACTGGTAAAACTGGATACATGATAATTATTACATTATAAAATGCTTGGCATAAAAGTACAATGAAAGTTATAGGGTAAAACAAAGTTAAGACTCTTCATGTGATGTTTTATATCATCAAGTCAGTTGTTGGTTGTTGCAATTTTGTTATATTCCCGTGGACATAATGGTATATTCTAGGTTTTGTGTACATATAATAAACTGCTTTGGAGGCCTGTGGTCTGGATGTAGTATTTCGCTTAGAGGGGATGGAGTCCAACTGGGTCTACTCAGCACAGCGGCCACTGGCTGATGGATGTAATATAGTATTGACGTCAATCTGAAAATGATGTGAGAATAATGATATTAAGTCTGTTATAACTAACTTCTGATTTTGGTATTGACGATATAATGTATTGTTTACTTACTGTTTAGCCGGTGCCTCATCTTACAATGTATTTGTCTGTTCTGTAGGGAATATAAACTGCAACTGATTTGGTGAGGTTTGTTACAAGTAAAGTCGATGCATGGGAGGGATGGGAGGGGGGTAGAGAGGTAAAGATAGGGTGTGTGAGGATGTGGTTGGGATATAACTGTAGATTATGTTTGGTACACATCAATGATTACATCAGTAAAATTATTATCCAGTTGTAAATTTTGTTTGCTGATTTCGTAAATGTGAAATCTTTCATAAGTATCAAGTGTTCGGCCTTTCTTACTCATATATAGAATTTCTAATGTTTTTTCCATTGTGCTATATTCATGTGTGGTGTTCAATATATGTTGAGCAAATTTGGAGGTTTATCCGTTACTTTTTATGTCTCTTATGTGTTCTCTGAATCTGATTTTAAAGGTACGTCCAGTTTGTCCTATGTATTTCAGATTAACATCAATACTACACTACATCCATACCATGGGCCTCCAAAGTAGTTTATTACATGTACACAAAACCTAGAACATACCATTATGTACATGGGAATATAACAAAATTGCAACAACTAACAACTGACTTTATGATGTAAAACATCACATGAAGAGTCTTAACTTTGTTTTACCCTATAACTTTCATTTTTATATAGTCTAGTTCATTGTACTTTTATGCCAAGCATTTTATAATGTAATAATTATCATTTATCAAGTTTTACCAGTACTGCAGTTCAGTGGTGAGAATATGTTAATCATATATTTGCCCGATGATGGCTTTAATAGCCAAAACATGTACCAGAGCCAATCTTGGCCTTGACCTTGATATTGTTGTGTTGTGATGGATTTTAATAAAGAAATTATATTCTAAAAATTGTGAAGAATTTCTTCTGGTAGTCAGTTAAATATAGGAGCCAGAATAACTCAGTCAGTGTAGTCATGGGCTAGGGGCTGCATGGCAGGGGTTAGATTTCCAGTAGGGGTAAGAAATTTGTATCTTCTCCATAGTGTTCAGGCAGGCATTTGGGTCCACCCAGCCTCTTGTCCTTTCACTTTCATTTTCACTTTATTTTAAATTCCATAGATCCTTTCAGGTCATGCATGCCATAGGATACAGAACATGTCAAAATACATAAACGCATACATAAAAACAATGGACCCATCAACAAACAATACAGTCACAGTACAAAACTTGTACATAAAATATTCAAATATGATCAAATTTACGCAGATATATGATTATCACAATCATAAATTAATACAAAAGACCTATTCATAATCCGAGTATAGATGTTTGATTCAATTATCTCCATCACATAACTTCAAATACTTAATTTAACAGTCCAAATACATGTATAATACATTTCATCAGGATTTAAAAATTAGAATATAGTATAATAAAAATTCAGTATATACAATCAGTCATTTCATAGCAAGAACCTTAAAATTTGAAAACTATTAACATATTCCTCTAAAGGAGAAAACGAAATGAGCTGTAAGTAAACCATTCATGACCATCTTAATTGTTTACGTCTATTACAATACCATACTTCCATAAAATTTATACCCTTAAATGCCCAGTTACTAGACAGTGGATAATACATTCAATTTAATTCAATTTATTGAAACATTCTGTTGATCCTTAGTGGTACAATAATGAACATTAGATGTGGAATTAGTCACAGACAAAACCAGACAAGTCCCATCACTTTAATAAGATATGAATATAAATACATGCATGATTCATCTCCACAATACAGTATCTCAAACATTGTTCTAATATCTAAAAGCAGATTATTTATTAGGACATTACATCAATTATTACTTACAAACAATACCCAAACAACAAACAGGTCATAGATGCCTGCACACTTAATACCCAGGACATAGATGAAACAACTTGTGTACATCGTATGACAGCTATATGTTTAAAATGTTAAAACTAATGTACTGATAGTACTAAGATGTGATGAATATATATGAGCAGATTATAAGTATCATAAAAAAGTTTTCTTAGTAGGGAGTACAACCCAGGTGTTTAGTATACTTTACAGTTAAAATATTCATCCAAGGAATAAAACGAATTTGAAAGAAGAAACCTTTTTAGCATCGGTTTGAATAGTTTCATTTCATTACTCAGACATTTATATGAGGTGAAGATGATTATAAGCTCTGATACCAGAGTAGTAGGGCTTTTTTTGGAAAACTGTCAAATGTGATGTAGGAAGGTGTAAGTTTGTGCTATGTCTAGTACTGAAGCTATGAATCTCATGATTTGATTTGTACAGATCTTTATTTTTTACGACAAACAGTATTATCGAGTATATATATTGGGAATACATTGGCAATATATTTAATTTTCTAAATAGATCCCTACAGGTGTCTCTAGTTTTTGCATTCATAATAACTCTAATTATCCGCTTTTGTATCCTAAAGACATCGATACTGTTAGGTGTATGACCCCAGAAAATTATACCATATTCCATAATAGAATGCACATAGGAGAAATAAATCATCTTAAGAGTTTCTTGTGACATAAAACCTTTTGCTATCCTAATAGCATAACAAGCTGAACTCACTGTAGTTACTAATTGGTCAGTAGGAAGTTTCCATGATAATGTTTCGTCAAACCAAGAAACTTAATATTTGACATGTTAGTAATATGCTTGTTTCCACAGCTTATACTGATATTGGTTTCTAAACTATTTTTTGTCCTGAATAAAAGGTAATGAGTTTTTTTAAATTTAAAGATAACAAATTGGCTTTAAACCATTCATTTATGGGTACAAGTTGTTTATTCATATTAGTTTAAAAATTCAGAAGGCTAGGATTAGACATGAGGCTTGCGTCGTCAGCATATAGAATGATTTTTGCATTGTTAGTTATTATGTTAGGAAGCTCATTTACATACAATAGGAAAAATAATGGACCAAGGATAGAGCCTTGCGGAACACCATGCTTTATGATCTCCGACTCGGAGGAGGTACTATTACGAGTTTCCCTGTTATCTAATTCCACTTTCTGATATCTGTTGTTTAGGTATGATGTAATTAATGCTTTAAAAGTTCCTACTATCTCGTAGTGTTCCACTTTTTTTAAAAGTATATCATGGTTGACACAGTTGAATGCTTTCTCTAGGTCACAAAATATACCACTGATGGTTAATTTATTATTCATGACTAATAAAATTTCATTCAATAGTTTGAAGGAGGCCATATTAGCTGAAGAGTTATTCCTAAAACCATATTGGTCGCTTGTATGTATCTTATTTAGGGTTAAATGTTGGTAGAGCCTTGAGCATATTACCTTCTCAAAAACTTTTGAGAAGAGGGGTAGCAAAGATATGGGTCTGTAATTAAAAATACTACGTTCATCACCACTTTTGAATACTGGTTTTACTACTGAGAATTTCAATCTAGTTGGAAAGATACATGAGGAAAGGGATTTGTTAATAATACACATTAAAGGAGAGCTGATAAAAAGAGCACTTGCTTTCAATATTAGAGATGGTATCTCATCATATCCACATGAATGTTTGGCTTTTAAGGATTTAATAATTTCTTCTATCTCACAAGTTGACGTATGTCTAAATCGAATATTTGGGGGCGGGCCCTTGTATGTTTGTAACATATAATTTAGATAATTGTCATGTATTGGCTGACCTGTTTTACTAACTCTGCTACTATCTACGATATTATTAACGACTGTTAAAAAATAATCAATGAATTTATTTGCAAGAATCTGTTGGTTGGATATTGTATTACCCTTAATATCCAGGTACTGTATATCTTCTTTATTATCGTTTTTCCCTATTTCAGTTTTAATTATATTCCAGGAAGTTTTCGTTTTATAAATATAATATAAATATATAAACAAATCAAACTTTTCATTTTATTTTTAGAGTTTAATATCCTCCTATTATAATATAGTTTTTTAGCTGCATTTATGACTTTAGTTAAAATTTTGCTGTATTGTTTACAATATTCTTTTAAGTTAATATATTATTGGTTCTATACTGTAAATACAGATTTCTTTTATTTATACATGAGATCTTTATCCCTCTTGTTAACCATGCGTTACCTTTTGGTTTATTCTTTATTTTTCTTTTAGTAAAACTGGAATAAAAGATTCTTAGGTCTGTATTAAGAAAGTTATTAAATATTATGTCAACGTCGTTCCCTCAAAGATATCATCCCATGTCTCGAAACTCAGTTTATTCTTAAAATTAATTAAGGAATGTTTGTTAAAATTTCTTATGATTTGTGTTACATTATATTGCCCTTGTGTTTTGAAATTATTTAACTTGATAATTTGGGTATTGTGGTCCGATAGCCTGTTTATATGAGGATATATGGTGTAATCTACATTTTTTGATACATCAATAAAAATACTGTCAATAGCTATTGCTACACCATTTTGCACTCTAGTTCGGAAATGAACAGTACTGGTTAAGTTGAAAGTGGCAAGTAAGGTGTCTAATTGCTGTTCTTTTTTTGCAGCTGTTATCAAGGTAATTTATATTTAAATCCCTGCAAATGATTCAATTCAATTCAATTCTTTATTATTTATGTGCCGAGTCAACAGCCACAAGGCCAATTACAGACAGAGCACAGTGCAGATGAAAGTAATTACATTATAGACAAACTTATTAAAGTCAAATACAAATTACATGTAAGTACTTGGAAGAAACAATATTGAAGGAAAGTAAACAAACAAACAAACAAACAAATAAAGATAATTATAACAGTAGTAATAATTTCATTATTATTAAACTAAGTGTTATTAAGAATTGAGTAATGAAACATAAATATTTAATTAAGAAATGAATAGTATAGATTTTCAGAGGATGATAATAATAATTCATTTTGTTTTACTGGACATGCAAATAATAAGAATACTAACAGTTATACTATATTTCAAATTTGTTTGGGTAGAACATTACTGGCTCCGAATACGTTACGTCAACCTCCCTGCAGACAACATTAGCAGCTGATGCGCATCTAGCAGAGGGACAATTTTTAAATAAGGAGCAAACATTGAACAATGCAAAATCTCTGATATACCGAGCAGGAACTCGGAGACCAACAATTTCCAGGACAGAAGGCAGAATTTTGAGCCAAAATAAACGTGAATAAGAAAGAGAGCATCAAGGCGATGTCTCCTAGTACGTAAAGTATGCAATTTTAACTCATCAAGAGCAAGAGAATAATAGTAATGAACATGAGGAAAGAAACGTTTAAAACAAAGGGTCGCAAGAAATGTAGATTAGCACCATATGGTTTATTTAAAATAGCTTCTAAGGTCCTTATAAAAAATGAAAAATTCCCATTGGGAGACCTGTAAATCGATATTATACAAACAGTTGTGGTTGGTAAATGGATTTTAATTACACATACCTCGATATCCTGTTCTTTGCTAAATTCTTGTAGGTTAATATTAAAAAAGCTTAATGATTCATGAACAAAAATACTTGCTCCACCATTTTTTAGGTTTTCTCTACAAAACTTAGCCCCTAAATTATAGTGTAATAATGGTGTTCTTTCCAATTTGAGTCCTTTTAGATGATGTTATACATAGTATTTGGGGGAGTTCTGGAAGTAATGAGTTTATTAATTCAATTGTTTTATTCCTTAGTCCCCTAATATTCTGGTGATATATCTTAAAAGCATTATATGCAGAAACTTGTATATCAGCTATCATGTGGGCATTGTTTACCACAAAAAATAATTTTTTCTGGTCATAGGGACTTTCTTTTGTCTATTTGATGTTCTAGGGAATGTTACATCAGGGTCTAGTGCATCTGCTTGGTTGATTATATTTTCTCTGTTTATAAGGGTTTCACTTCTATTTTCTAGTAGTATGGTAATGTCTCCTTTTATTGGATCACTTTTCCAGCCTAAAATAATTGAGCCTTATCCTTTTTTCCCTAGGATTGTGGAAAATTTTTCTACTATTTGTTTGGCAAAAGTTTCTTTCCTCACCCATTTAGATGCAGACTGTGTTATGTAAAAAATTCCTATTGGGGTCAACTTCTAGAACCAAAGTGTGCTTGCTGGTTTTTACATATTTCCTTAACTTCCTGCTGAATGATTTAATTTCATTATTGACACGAGAAGAATTCATCAGATCATGTGTATGTGGTGCACTTAATAAAATGATATTTGTATTGTCATTAACCTTTATAAATTTTAAGATATGTTTTAGTGCTACACCGGCCTTGTTCTTACTCACATCATTGGAACCATCGCAAAACACAACCACATCACTTTTTGACAGGTTCCCTATGTCACTCATTGCCGAATTCACTATTTTCTCAGCACCTGCCCCTGGTTTAACGAAACCAATTACTTAAAAATTCTTTTTCAGATGATACTGCATTTCCTTTGCCAGTCCTCTAGAGTAGCTATCACCTATAATTACCACTTTGTGATTTCTCTCATTTCCAGCCTTTTTGTTGCGTGCTTCCGCCGTGCCCTTACATACACCGATGGTGCTCGACGATTTGAGAACTTAGTCATATTGGCTTGATTAGACATATGTGACTTCTGCATCTTTTCCCCATTCATTTCAATCGCATCTTCCATGATATTTATGGCATCATCATTGAGGTTAGGTACGTTATGTAGTGAAGCAAAACGATTTATAATTGTTGGTATTTGTTGAGGGTACTGTACATGTATTTTACTACTTCTATTATTTCTGCTGAAAGGTACTTGTGTCCAATTTTCACATTCGATGTTAAGCTGATCATATTCCAAACCCTGATTTACATCACTCACAATTGTATTTGCATTGTAGTTTCTCTCTTCCTGCAGTAACTTTATAATTTTTTAACCAAACTAAGTTCTAACAACACTTCTTCATACTTTAATTTAATTTGACAGCAGCAACTACATACTATTTCATTGTTAGCTTCGATTGGGTCAGTTAAACTGGAGCCTCTAGCAACTCACTAGTTCTAGTGTCTGCCATATGCTTTTACATGTTAGCAGCATACTCAATGGCTACTGGGAGCTCCCTTCCCAGGGGTAAAGCAGCTGGGAAGTAAAACTGACCATTCACCTCCACCAAGTGCCAAGGTCAAGAATGGTGGAGGTATACATCCACTCCCCCACCAGTTTTAATGGCATAAGCACAGAGTTAACTTTACCTTTACCTTAGTTAAATATAAAGGCTGAAATATTTCATAACTTGAGAGTTTACTAGAACATACAGCAAGTTCTAAGGGAAATACTGGGTTGAATAAGATTACAGCAGAGTCACTTCTTTCAATAGCAATCACAACATGCTACCTTTCAATCTATTATGTACAGCCATACAATTTTTACTTACAGAAATATCAACATTTATCTTCCACATCTATGGTGCAGATAATATTGATATTTAACTTCAGACTGAATGTTATACCTATGATTCTCTTCAGAACTTTCAAATTGTTTTAGATATCTCACCTTGCAGCTTTCAATGAGGTTATTGTCCATAAGATAGTTATAATTTGACTGGAGGGCAGCCCAAAATTCATCCTTGTTCTCATCACGGTTACCCCACGACCGACGCCAGGATTCCTGCTCAGGATCTTTCCTGTATCACATATAAAAAAGAACATTCAAGTCATATTTAAAGTGTATGTTATATAAAAACTGAAGTCTGGCAGTTTCTTTAAAAAATAAAGTCATAGAAATGGCAACTACTTTATATGTTGCACATAAATGGTTATGCAAGTGACCAATTCATAACCTGATGACCAGATATAACTTGTAATCCCTGCCAAATATAATTAGATCAATCAAGTCAAAAAGGATGACATGGACAGCGCACACAGAATGCCTGCAGGAGAAGAGTATTACATATGGGGTTTTGGTACGGAAACCAGAAGAAAAGAGACCACTAGGAAGACATAGATGTAGATTACAGAAAAAAATTTAAATGGATCTCTGAGAAAAATGATATTGGAGCAGTGGGATGTATGGACTGGATTCATCTAGCTCAGGATAGAGACCAGTGGCGGGCGCTAATTAACATGGTAATGAACCTTCAGTTTCCAAAAATTAAAATGGATCTCTGAGAAAAATTATACTGGAGCAGTGGGATGTATGGACTGGATTCATCTGGCTCAGGATAGGGACCAGTGGCAGGCTGTAATTAACATGGTAATGAACTTCTGTTTCCAAAAATGCTGGGAAATCCTTATGTAGCTGAGTGAGTGGTGCCTTGGTTCCATGGAGTCAGAAGACAGGTCAAATGTGAAACCCCAATTAGTTAGTTATTTAGTTAGTTAGTTTGTTAGTTATTGGAGAGGGTGGGTTTCCCCATGCACTGAGACCTGTATTGGCCCATTGTGCTTCCCTCTATGATTTCTACCAGTCTCTATATCCTACCGGTACTGGTGCTTACCATCAGTCCCGCCCAGCCAGCGAGACTGCCCTTAAAAATTCGACGACCTCCGCCGGGTATTTTACCTGCGTACTACGAGTCATGAGGTGGGAACGTTACCTCTAGACTACAGAGGCCGCTGAAACCCCAATTAAGCGTCAAGATTGTGGCACCATGCTGGCTCATATCATCTACCACACATTAAGAGGCAGTGATGGATGGGTGTGGATAAAAGGGATGATGATGTTGGGAACCAACATACATGGGAAAGAAACCCTGTCTTACTGCCACTGGACACCTCAAAGCTCACACTGACCATTCTGGAACAGAATGCAAGTCTCTGAAATGAGAAGACAGGATCTGGCTGTCAATATGTAAGCTGATTCTGAAGATTGCACAGCACTGACTCTTCAGAATTCTACATGTATCTTGGATTGTGACATCATGAAGTCCTGTAGGCAATACCAACATTTTGGAAGAAGATGGTGCTTACATCTTTAAGGTAAACTGGCCAAACCAGCCATTCCACTGAGACCTGGGGTAATAAACACCATAATCACATTCCACTCTATCAACTACAGAAGCTGGCATCAACCTGGGTCATTATATGCTGCTCAGCAAGACCAGCAGCCTGGCCATGAAATCCAGGCACAGGGGCCAGCTCATTAGGGAAGCAATATGACTGAGCTCCATCCTAATAACATGAACAGGGAGAACAAATTCTCTCTAAGTTATTCAATCCATGAAGTAAGCCCTCTGCCAGGGCTGAAGAACATTCAAAATTATAAATAAAGACAGAAGCACGACATTATATATTTTTCTCTACAGAAACCTATAACTCTAGGGCATCTAGGGTGATACATAAAAATATTCTCAAATGGCTTAAATGTAGATCTATAAGCAAGTTCTCTTGCTGACCTGCTCCCAGAAAATATTCTGGCAGCACCCACAGTGCTGCTCCACTGTGTTCGTTAATTGCTATAATTTCAAAAGTTGAATTAAAAAGCTAAAAAAGTAAAAGTATCTCTGTAACAGGCTGTGAAGGCCCATAGGGTTGTGAGCGGTTGGGGCTCCCACATTTTCTCTAGACAATCAGCTCACAGATGGATGTAACATCAGCCTTACGTGCCAGCCGCTCTTTACCCACCCAAGAAGATTCCTGGTATTCATTTCTGTTAGAGGATGAATTGATCGCACGGTCATAGTGCAGCTGGAAAAATTAGGTCAACTGAAAAAAAATTCGCCTCATCGGGACTCGAGCCCGTGACCTTCCAGCTTGTAGCACAGTGCCTCAACCAACTATGCTACGAATTAACTGAGTGTTTATACTGTAAATGAAGAACTGACCCAAAATACTTCCACCTAATTGCAACTGATAAATAATAATTTCATAAAAGAATTGCATCTTTAGCAATTTCCTTCTTATAGTACTATGAAATGTCATGTCTCTATGTTATGGAGCCATGTGCAATGGCAATAACCAAAACAAATAACCTTTCAGTACCAATATAGCTGACAAACAAACCCCTCCCAGCAGAAGTATCAAGTTGCTGTATTTGGTCCTGACCCCACATTCCCAAGGTCAGCCTAAACATTAGCACATAATGATTCCCACATAGTGACAGCTTGGCAGATGTTATAGCTGCCAGATGCCACATGGTGTATGGCACAGCTGTTGATGGTTTGAGACTGAAGGTGTTCAGTTATATAACTGAAATTAACTAAGTGGTAACCTTGGTGAATACCGGTTCTTCAAACAGTACAAAAGCATGTTGAGATATGGTACTTTTGAGATTACTTGACAAGACATAACAGAACATTACTATTACGTTTCATTAATATGTACATTCTATAGATTTAAGGTAAATGTGTGTTCAGCATGCAATATTTTAACTCTGTTGTAAGGAGTAAAAGGTGACAGCATAAACTATAATAAAACTGTGATCATACCAATTTCTTTTAGTCCCATAATGTGGTTCAGCCAATGAACAGTCATTAGGGTGAATGACACCACATGGGTATTGTTCAATGGCTGAACTTACCTAAACAAATATTCAATTAAAATTCTACTGCAATCATTACATGCACATGTGATGCCATCATGGTAATATTTTCTTTAGACATTGTCTGTTGTATGGATAGAAAGACATACATCATTTCAGATGATGCTTCCATCTCGGCCTCCAGTTACAAGGATACATGCTGAAGCAGAAATGACATTACACATGGCACAACCTTACTTACTTACTTACTTACTTACTTACTCATGGACCTGAGCCCTTCTGGAGGAGCTGCCAATTCTGCAGCTACTCAAGAATTTTCAAGACCCTGAAGGTTAATTACTGTGTTCACAAGAGCCCTCCACTGGTCCCTATCCTGAGACAGATCAATCCAATCAATACCATCACATCCTATCTCTCTAAGATCCATTTTAATATTGTCCACCCACCTACGCCTTGGTCTTCCCAGTGGTCCCTTTCCTTCTGGCTTTCCCAACAATATCCTATACGCATTCCTCGTTCCTCCCACTCGTGCTACATGCCCTGCCCACCTCATCCTCCTTGACTTGATCACTCTAAAGTTATGAAGCTCCTCATTATGGAGTTTTCTCCAACCTCCTGTCACTTCATCTCTCTTCGGTCCAAATATTCTCCTCAACACCCTGTTCTCAAACACCCTCAGTCTATATTCCTCCCTTAATGTCAGAGACCAAGTTTCACACCCATACATAACCACAGGCAAAATTATAGATTTGTATATTCTAATTTTTATGGTTTTGGACTACAGACAAGAAGACAAAAGGTTCTGAACTCAATGGTAGCAAGCATTACCCGAGTTCAATCTCCTCTTAATTTCCTCCTGAATCAGGTTTTGATCTGTTATCGTTGTTCCCAAATATCTGAACATCTGTTTCCTATCTTTATACCATGATTTTGCCCTGAATTTTGGTGACGAGACAGCAACATATTACACATGGCACAACCTACTGACAAATATTTAAAGCTTCATATGCAAAAGTAGCAATAAATACAAAAAATGGCCATGTTTTGCAGTTCGATTTAAGTTACATAGAAGATGAGTACAGATTATTTTAATGCTGCCAAAGAAAAGTTTATGTTACAAGGTTAAAATTTTAAACAAATGAATTAATGTTTTTCAACTATCAAATATCCTGAATCAGCTCACACCTTGGTTTCTTAGTGAGACTGTTGTATGGCCTCTCTGCCCGTAGTCTCACTTGCTCAGGGCTCTCTAGACTACCACTAGAGGGCTGCAGTGAGGACAGGGAGAAGCTCATCTTCAGTGCTGAGTTTTCAAATCCTGAAATCAGGAATAGTATGGAAGTTGACATACCTCCAGGTATCTATTAATCTGCCCATATAAATTCTATATTAACATCTATGTTGTACTTATATACCAACCAATAAAGTTATAGAAACAATACATCAGTTTAAATTTACATATCTGATTAGTATTTCTGATGTTTTTTTTAACATTTTTAAGTTAAAAATCAATGTTAATATTTCTATTCCTGCACTATTAAACAGGGTCCTGCAGTATAGAAAAAGGAGGAATTTAAATGTGATATTCATTAATTAAATTGTGTATGCATACTCTGCTGAATACAGAATACAATATACAACACAGTAAATTTGATCTTGTGAGCAAACAAATGCCACAAAGGTATATGTAGGACACTGAGGTAAACTCCACGTAATTCAGACAATTCAGTTTCTTTATTTATGAAGAAAGAGACACATGTACCCATCCTATAAGAGAAATGGTGGTTTCCAGCAAATAAAATTCTCTGTCCTTGCCAGGAATTTAACTTTTATCACCCAGCCTGTAAGCAGTCTCTCTATTAACTGCACTATCATAATTTACAATGTACACCACACTGCCTAACTTCAAACCACTTGAGAGCCCACATTGTACCTTACCTACATGGCTCCATTATGAAGAATTTAACAGCATACCAACATAAAAATATGCAATGTTGCCAGTGCTTAAAAACCACATTACATGTTTGTTAGACTTTTGTCTATTGCATATGATCCCAGAGTCATATTAACTCCATACTTTTTAAAGTTATTTATTAGGTGTCTTAAGAAATACTCTGCAAAATTATGCAGAATATTTAGTAAGTATTCTTTTCTTTTTGTAAATATTTGAGGCAAGATTTACTCCTTATTTAGAGAGAAGAAAAATATTAGCAGGTATTTTGGAGAAGTACAAGATGTTCTTGCAGGCCACGCAAAATCAACGGGCAGGATGCATGAGGACTAAATGCATCAAGTCAGATAGGCCTTCTGCATACTAAAATAGGAAATAATTTCATTTGTGGTAATGAGGAACTGAAATTTGCTTAGAATGTTTTGTTCTTAGCAGAATGTAAAGGAACTTATGTATAGGTGGCACAGATACTACAACTTGGATTTCACTAATATTAATTGAGGTTAACAGATAGAACACTGTTCCAAAATGTAATTTCTACAGCTTCACCATTTACTACAAGTCTGTGCTCACATCTGGCCTTGTTGCTAACTCAAGGTCATCAAGAGCAAACACAGGTTGAGATGTAGTGTGGAATTTAGTAAACAAATGTAACCAGGGCAGATCTTCTTGGAGTTTGCTCATTTCTGCTAGCATTCATTCCAACAGCACACTCAAAATTTTCAATTACAGAGAAAATCCTTTTCCTTGTTATCATCATCAGCTGAAGGATTTAATTTTTATATACAGTAAAAGGCATGCCATCCTTTTAGGATGAAAAATACAGTACTCATATGTGAAAAGAGGAGATAATTTATATACGTTTCTCACAAAACAGGCACAACCTGGAACTAATTAAAAAGTTGAACTTATTTCACCTTCATATACACCTCAATTTTAGTAACAGATTTTTATTTTTGTGTTCTATAAAAAGAAAAGCTGATACAATGAACCTCTGTATACTACAAGAGGGAGAAAGAAAAAACTCTATGCATAGGTTTTCTTTCTTTCATGAAATAACTTCTGCCTGGTGCCCCATATTTTAATTCTTGGTTTATTTAATAACAATTTCAGTTTCAACAATCACTTAACATCAAGAGGCAGTACAATTAGTAAATAATCAACTGGAAATGATGCATAAGGAAGTGGCTGTGCCCTAACTTGAGGTACCCTCGTGGCATTTGCTCTAAGTCAGGGCAGGCAGTTTCTGGCCTGTGGCTTTAGCCCAGGGCCTCCTTAATATGAAACAGGAACGCCAGTCACTCAACCAAGTTATCTGACTGTTATCTTCCAAAAGAGCATAAAGTGATACATATGGAGATTAGTATCTTTTTACTCTTACAGATCACATTATTTTCATGGCAACTGGTCATAATATTTATTTTAAAACAAGAAAATAATAGAGCAGATGAAATAAAATATGAAGTGGGTTGAAGAATTTAACAGTTTCAATAAAATGTGTTACATAACTTGACAGTCAATAACTCAAAGTTTAAGCTACAAAGAGAAATTGTGGTTTTATAATTGTTTCTCTGCACAAAGGCAGTTTCCTTTTTAAAAAGAAGTTTTTAATTTACCTAATCCTTCCAGCCACAGTATGGCCCTGGGGTCAACTCAGCCTCTAACAAAAATGACTACCAGGAGGATTCCTGGGGTTTAAAGGGTGGCAGGCACATAAGGCTGACAACCTTATTGCCATCTGTAGCCCACTGTTTAGATAATGTGGGAGCCTTAACCTCTAACACCCCCATGGGCTTTCACGGCCTGTTACAGAGACAGCCCATTTTTTATACACCAATTGATGTTGATGAAGGGAATGAAATTTATTTTCTTATGGGATGAACTTAAGTTCAAATGCTGTGTAGATGATCACATGCAGGGCTGAGTAACAACGGTTCTTTTTTGAATATGACAGTGCATCATATGCCCAAGTACAAGGCTACCTAAATCCTCTCCAACCAATGGTAACCCTTTCCATGTTTTCCTACAACTTACACTAGTCTTGGTGCATTCATAACCATCAGAGAATACAAACAATAACATTTAATAATGCTGTCATTGAAATACATTATTTTTATGGGATTATAAAGTGCTGTATTTCTAATCACATTTTCTGCACTTCAAATCTTAACCTCAGCAACTTGAAGCATGGATGTTAGTGGTTTTGGGGCACCTTTAATTATTTCAAACAACATTTGGTCAACTTCTTTGGTGCCAAGTGATTATTTATTACTTTTAATTAATCAATCATTTGACCTTGTTAAAAAACTAACCAATTAACTGGTTAAGAGAGGCAATCCATTTTCACCAAGAAGAGTAACTAATTTCTTACTATGCATACATTACACAAATCATTTGCAATCTGAAGCAAGGGGATCATGGTCTAGGGAACTTTTCAATTAGATAATCCTAACAGGAGAGCAATGAACACAACTGCCACTAGTAAAGCGATTTTAACATTAGAAACACAAAATATTAGGAAAAGGATTCATCACAAGCACAGTAAACGTAACATATTACATTTCATTTTGCATTTTGAAGTTGAAAAATAAATGTAACAGAGCTATGTGTCTTAACCAGCTAAACATGAAATAAAGTGATATATACTGAAAACTTCACCAACTAACTATACGATATACTATACTATAACAATAAACTAATTAGCCATCACAACACTAGCCAAAAACTACTTTACTATCACAGATCAAACAGCTAAGATCGATTAGCAAATGCTGGTACATTGTGGCAGTTGTGCATTTCACTTGTTCTGGATTTAACTTCCTTACCGACAGGCATTTTGTTGTACAAAGTGGAATCAGAACTGTAACAGAGCTGGTCGATTTCTACAAGATGTCTGTGCTGTATGGCATGACACAGGGCTGTGTCACTCCACTGGGTGTCATCTGAGTCCACATTAACCAAGTCATGGATCTGAGAATATGTAACCGAGATGCTCACTGCTGGCCAACGCCACCAGGGACCTCGATACTTGGTTCTGCAATTTCTGTGCCACCAGAACCTCCCCCGTCTGCAACTGAAGATACATCATATGACAGGAGGTGCATTTGCAGCATACAATGCCTCAAAATACTGCGTGAACTTTAGAAATGAAAATGACATAAATATTTTGACATGTTAATGAATTTGGGTAGATGTATGAAGAGATGAAGGACTGAATGAGCAAAAATACAAAACAAGAAGCTACTGTCAAGTTTTAGAAACAAATAAATTTATTAAATATATTGTTTTATTTGTAGTTTTTAACTACATATCAAATAACTGGATAACCACAAATGATGAACTAGAAAGAATGTGGAAGGAAGAAGTGATGGTCTAATTTCAAGGTACTACCCTGGAATTACTCTTGGGAGATTGAGAAAAACCACAAAAATCTGCCATAACAATCAGTGTCGCTGTCAGGATTTGAATTTGGTATCTTCCAAACACAAATTAAAAGTGTTATCGCTTGAGCCAACCTGCCCAGTGTCTCTTATTAAAGATAAACCAAATATTAAGCTGGCAGTCCAACATAGTATAGTGTAGTGTAGTGTAGTGACCACATCCGTAACCAGTGGCTCTCTCTTAGCTGGACATTTCATAGTAAAACATGAAAGTCTTGGAAGAATTGATGACTTCTGCTTTCAACTTGATTAAGTGAAAACGGCTGTCTTCAATTGAAGTTTAGGGGCTTTCATTGCACTTCCCTTTCCAATGTCAGAATATTAGGATCTGCTCTCAAACAGGATGACCTTTTCCCTTCACCTGTCCATCTCACTTTACCATCACCCTTACACTTCTTGATGCTGAATCAACTTTGTAATTTATTTAGTTCACACCTGTAGCGGGAGTGGGCAGGCGCTCTGGATCGGCGTCTCGGCGCTGATGGTGGACGCGAGGTGCTATGAGGTGTTTTCCTCCACCGGGCACGGTGATGCTGCCCAGCCGCACATGGCCACCGGTGCGCCTGAAACAATGACAAAAGTATGACGATAACGTCTTGAGAACCGAAGACACAAATCGTGGTATTGAAGACTTCAGGCTTTCACGGCGGCTCCAGTGCTATTGTGATGCCTGCTTCTGACTGACACAGGGATAGTGACTAGCTCTATCGTTTGGGCCCAAATGAGCAGGCTTTTACCTGAGGATGGAGACAGACCAGCCTCCGAAATGTTGTTTTCCAATAGACATCAGGTAAGGAAAAATTGTCCTTGTGCGTAATTACGAGGGTTGGAACTTTAATAGTGGCAACACTGCTGTAGAGACGCCATGCAACGGAACCAAATAATGTCGCTTATACCACACGTTAGTTACATAACTACCTTACCTCAGAGCAAATGGACTCTCCCTTCCCACATCACGCGCATGCTCAGTGACGAGAAGAACAGAGCCTCGTGTTAGCTGGCGGTCTAATGTAGTGCTGTCACGATGTTTTCGAAACAGGCACAACGGAGTTGGATAAAGATTTAATGTTCCAGAGGTCGTACAGCACGACAGTGTCATCAAGGTCTTCAAGAGGCTTGCGGGGAATCTGCATTGCCTTACAGAACAGTGGCAAGGTGGGTAAAAGCCTTCAACGAGGGACGCCAAAATGTGGTAGACATGCGTCGGCCAGGTTGTCCTAGTGTCAGTGAAGAAGCGTGTGCTCTTTCCGCGTTCCTGGAGAGTGATCGACGTCATACGATTCGTGAGCTGGCCCGAAAGACAGGATTAGTGCACATGACTGTGCTTCACATTCTGAAGGAACGTCTGGGCATGTGAAAAATCTGCATTACGATGGGTTCCGCATGATTTGACGGAAATGCAGAAATGACTACGATACGACGCTGCTCGTAACCACTTGGAGCGATATGAGCGCGAAGGAGAGGCTTTCTTACGCCGTATCTTTACGCTGGATGAGACATGGGCCAAATCGTACGAGCCACCAATGAAACACCAATCGAGCGAATGGCGTCATTACGGGTCACCACGAAAATCAAAAGTTCGTCAGAACTCCAGCAATGTGAAAGTTGTGGTGATTCTCGTGTAGGACTGTGATGGTGTTATCCTAACGCATACCGTTCCCCGACAGCAGACTGTCAAGGCATAGTATTACTGTTCATTCTTGGAACACAACCTGCGACCAGGTTTTTGAGAGAGAAGCGGCGACACTTTCTGCAGAACCCACCCATCATTTTGCAGGACAATGCTCGGCCGCATGCAGCGCCAGCTGTGGCTGATTTGTTCGAGCGATGGGGCTGGGAAGTGCTGTACCATCCACCATACTCCCCGGACTTATGCCCTTGTGACTTCGACTTGATTCCTAAGATGAAGGAACCACTTCGTGGCATTCGCTTCAGAACTGTTCCAGAGATTCTTCAGGCAGTAGATGGCTCCATTCGAACTATGAACACAACAGGCGCTGCTAAAGGTATCCTACGACTTCCACAACGCGGGCAACGGGTTGTACACAGTGCTGGTAACTACACTGAAGGACAGTAAAACTTCGAAACATGCATCTATTTTGTATCAGTTGTAAATAAATAGTTGCCACTATTAAAGTTCAACCCTCGTAATTAAGCACTACGCCATGAAGGCGTATGGGGGAATGGAAGTACAGAACCACGTTTTCTTGACCTCGGCACTAATTTGAGGTGAGTGATCAGCTTCACGCCCCGGTACCCATTGGATAGGAGGCTAGGTGGGCCCCAGAGCCGGTCTGGACGACGTGAAGAAGAGAACATTCTTAATCTTATTGGGACTGGAACTCCGTCCACTCGGTCGTCCAGCCCGTAGCCAGCCGCTATACCGACTAATAAAAAGCAGGACGATGGATATTATCCAGAAAGTCAGCAACTACCTGAAAAGGCTTTCTTTTTATCTGAGTAAACTATCGCTTATTCTACTTGCACTAAATTTCCTCTTCCGACTCTCACCACTGCCACTAGATTGGATTTATCTGCATTCAGGATGAAAACGCAGAGAAAATTATTTTAATCCTGGATAAAAGATTGTGACATTCACGTGTTAATAACTACAAATTTATCTCTTATTTTGGTACGTAGTAAGAATATTGAAATTTCTTACGCTATGCGAATTTACGCGCTCGTTTCTGTTGAAGTTCGGAATTAATTATGAAACAATCTTTTAGCCATGCTGTAGTTTGTATTCGACAGGCGACTGCGTCATCACAAGACTTGTACCTAAGCAGAATAATAAAACCCAGTTATACGTAGATACAAGTTCACCAATGTACCGAGCAGAGTTCGATTTCGCGGTCCCAGTATTCGAGCTGTTCAAAACTGTATGTGCCTTACATACGCACAGCTACTGAAGGCACTGGATGTCAAAACTTATAGCAAAGTATGAACATGGTCTCTGGGAGAAAATGAAGTTATATTATAGTAATTTACCTCCCGATAATTATGTGACAATATAAGACGGTAGGCAAGAATTTTCAAATTTCCATGTTGTCCAGACCGGTTCTAGGGTCCATCCAGCATCCTATCCAATGGGCACTGGGGACTGTTTCTCCGGGGGTAAAGCGGCCGGGACGTGAAGCTGACCACTCACCTCCAACTAGTGCCAAGGTCGAGAAAACGCGGGTTTATATATCCACTCCCCCCATACGTCTTCATGGCGTAGTGCTTAATCAGTTAAGCACAGGGACAACCTTATCTTTTATAAGCCATTCTCTATGCTCCGATTAGATACACCCACCATTACGAAAAGAAAGAACGCAAAATACGCCTGTAACAAAAAGGATTCTTAATAAATTAATGACATTTTCGAGCCTCTGGATATCACATTGTAGGGATGCTGACGGAGTGGTAATTTACATCTTGAAGCACGAGGAAAATAAATCCATGCACAACAGAGTAAATGATATGTTTTCACAAAGTGTGGTGCCTAGCTTACAATAAGAAATTTGATTATATGACTTTATCATTACAGTAGTAATTCTATATCTACACTATGTAATAAAAGAACTCCTGCAAGACGGTGTGGGGGAGAGAGCGAACTTATGACCTACCGTGCAATAACCCGACAGAGCTCTTCAAATATACAGTACAATACGTAGGCGTGGAAGATAGTAAACTGAAGGCACTGAGTTATGTCATACGGTGGTAGCCATGACAGTTACTGAAGCCAGCAGTCGCATCGCTACCGTGACGTCATTTCCTTTCACGAGTTGCTCCAGTTCTCATATCTACGGTACCTGCGAGTTATCATTAGTAATCTTAACAGTCGGATAAGCAATGATAAACTCTACTCGCACGTGCAGACAGTTTTCTCTCCGTGTCAGCTTGCCAGAGAATGCTGCATCGTGTTTCTAATGACTCACATTTTGTGAAACAAGCACCCTACCCTTAAGGGCTTTTCTTTAGTTCCTTGCGGTGGGGTGAGACTGAGTCCACTTGGTACGTGCCCACTAATTGGCCTACTGCACCAGCTTCGGATGATAGATGATGAGTGTGGAACAGTCGGAGAAATGAGAATCGGCAGGGGAAACCGAAGTACTCGGAGAAAACCTTCCCCAGTATCACTCTGTCCACCATAAATCTCATATGACTTGACCTGGGATCGAAGCCGAGCTGCCGCGGTAGGAAGCCAGCGACTAACCGCCTGGGCTACGGTGCGGCCCATCCTACATCTTAACTGTAAATAGGTAAAGGTGTTCCTGTGTTTAACTAATTAAGCACTACGCCATAAAGGAGTACAAGGGAGTGGATATATAGATCCATATTTTCTTGACCTCTGCACAAGGTGGAGGTGAGTGGTCAGCTTCACGCCCTGGTCGCTTTACACCTTGCACCCATTCAACAGGAGGCTGGGTGGGCCCCAGAGCCAGTACGGACGCTGTGGAGAAGAGAAAATTCTTCACCCTACCGGGACTCTAACTCCGATCCGTCGGTAGTCCAGCCCGTAGTCACTCGCTAGACTGTCTCCTTTTCTATGGGCTGTGGCTTACGTATTATACGTTATGTTATTTATCATGAATTTTCCCTGTACAAATGTGTCCACTTTCCTCTTTCTCCATTTCTTGGTTTCAGAGATATCACAAAGAGGTCAATAATTACTTTCAACGCAGCTCTTTTCATTACTAAATCTTACTGCACAGTGACGAAATTATGGGCTCATCAAGGTCACTCTCTATTGACTGACTGACGAAGGCCGTTAGCTCTAGGACGTTACGACGGGTTGAATTAATTTTGTAATTCTGAGAGGAAAACAATTTAAAGTGAACTGGACCGGGATAAGCCATATAAGGCGGGTTGGACCCTAGAGTTCCATTATCAGGGAATTAAACTCCGTGGCCTGTAGTCCGCAAGCGAACTATACTGACCGAGCGACCGCCGCTTGTCGGAGAAGTCAGTGCAGCGAATTAGCTGTACTAACTCCATGAAGCACAGTCCTTCCTGTGAAATTAATATTCGCACACAGTCAAGAAATGTCCCTCATTTTAAGGTATCAAAACCAAGCTCACAAGAACCCGTCACTGGGTTCTAGGAAAAAGAATCCAGTCCACTAAAATATACATCTTAACGTCATCATTCATCCTACGTCCAGGTCTGCTAGTGATCTCTTCCTTTTAAAGTTGATTCTTCCATTTTCAAATACAGTAAAACTTGGTTATAGCAACATCGGTTTCTGCGACACCTTGTCTATTGCGTCAAATATTCAATGGTACGAACTAATTCCTCATAAAGCA